GGTCATAGTATACACCCGAGTAGGTACTCTTCCCGGTCCTGGTTTCGTACTTGTGGGCAATTATAGGACATGTGCTTCGGCTTTTGACACACATAGCATAGCCGGCTATCCGATTTGCATTCCCCGGCATGGAACCTTCCACACTTTCTACACTCGGGGTGGATTGCCCGTCATTGATCTCGGTTGGTCGCTCGGCGATGGTCTCGGAACATATGGTGCTAGTCCGGTGGCTCGAAAGTTTCCTGGACCACCACTTTGATTGAAATTCCTAGGCGGAGCTCGTCTCACTGGTCCCGATGAAGAGGCTCCAAATCTAAAACCTTGCCTTTTTCGTTGTAAGTCCCTTGAAATCTCCTTCGATCTTCGTCGACTATCATCGCCTTATCCACCATTTCGAGAAGGTATTGGCAGTGACATCCGTACCATACTACGCACTCTTAGGTTTAATCCTATCGAAATCTGTTCCTTTTTAGATTTTCATCCCCGAGTAATAAATGGGATGAATCTACGGCCTTGTTCAAACTTTCGTACATATTCACAAGCCGACATCCCATCTTGCTTTAACTCCGGAAAGTCTTGAATCTTCTTGGCCCTCACGTACGCGGTAAAGTATTTATTATAGAAAACCTCCTTAAATCCTGCCCAAGTTAAAGTCGGCACGTCTACGGTTAGTCGCGCGCTCTCCCACCATGTGCGGGCATCCTTAGTTAACAAGAAAATAGCACACGACACTCGCTCCTGGTTGGCAAGCTGTAGATATTCGAATATTACCTCCGGAGACTTAATCCACTCTTCGGCTATCATTGGGTTCACTCCCCCGACAAACTCTTGAGGGTTCATCTTGTGGAATCTTTCTACGGCATCATTCTGTCTTTGGGGTGGAGGTTGTTGTTGTGTAGCTAAAAGATGCCTCATCCGTTCGGCGTGGACTCGTTGTTGTTCTTTGTAGAGTTTGTTGCTTGCTTGTTGTATTATTTTCATCATTTGATTCAGCATTTCTTGCTTGGTTTGGGCTATTATCGCTAGAGGTCCTTTCACCTCCGGCTCGTACAAAGTTCTTTCTTGGCGGCATAGTTTATCTTTATGTACACATTAAGTTCACATTAGTTTAGTATGGATTTTAGAATTTAATGCTAATCATTCATGCTCGTATGAAATTATACATTTTTATACATAGTAAGCATCTCATGCACATATTTACTAGGTTTTCGTGCTATATTTATAATCAAAAGCACTCCTATTTACATTATAGAACATACAAAAGACACGACGACAGGTGATGAGATCCTTATTAGCTTATTTATCGAACATGTTGAGGAAAAGAACCCTTTAGTAACCACCGAGTCAATGCTGTTTTCCATTGCCGTATGGACTATCTCACGGGTAATGGGTAATGGTAGTCCCCATCCGTACATCGGTCGAATGAGGGATCGTCCGACTCGGGTTAGTAGAAAGGTCCGAATTAGAGCCCGATAAGAGTGTTGGTCTATCATGTCTTCCCAAACTTCGTCTAACAATCGTTGGTCTCCTGGTGGAAGAGTTCGACGTAAAGTTATCCGAAGGAAGTCCGAGCTAAAATATCGGTTAAAAGAGGCATCGGCGAATGCGATTCGCCGAAGTAGGTCATGAAATCGCATAATATGTGCCACCGGGTCCCGATTCGGAACCATAGTGAGGTTATTTAGCTCGGCCCTAAACGCGACTAGTGCTGTCCGTTGCCATCGCTTTTTAGGCATGCTTGGTACTCGATACAAAGCCGGCATCTACGATTATAGGGTTTGTTGTTATTAATAATTTCAAACAAAATTTTATACACATTACACAATAAAAAAACATACATAGTTTAAGAGAACTAGAAATTAAAATTATCTATCAAGGAGCGAGACTAGTCCAAGTTCAATCCAACCCATCACCACATACTTGGACATTTTTTAAAAAATCATAACATCATAAATCATCACAACAAGGCATCCATACATAGATTTATCCCAAGCATCAAGCATATAACCATTGAAAATTATTACAACCCATGAAATAAACACTAACAAAATAACTTAAAAAAAATAATTTAAGACATTAATCAGCCAAAAAAAATGAAACCGACTTACCTCTTTTAGGGTTGATTATAGTTTTCTTAGCTCTTTTTCTTTCCTTTCCTTTCTCTCCTCACGTTTTTCTTCCTCTCTTTTCTTTCTTGCCTTTTCTCTCTCAATTTACGGTACCTACGGGTTACTAAAATTTTTTTCTCCTATTTTAACACTTGCTATATATATATATATATATATATACTTACTTTCATTTAGCTACAAGTGTTAAAAATTAACGGGATAAGGTGTAAAGGTTATGGGTGAGTCATGAGGAAAGTCGGTCGCTTTGGAATCCATAATGGGTGAGTTGGCATTAAATTCATTTATTGCATTTTCTTAGGTGTCTATATAAAATTTAGACTAATTAAAATCATTAATTAACTTAATTAAAGTAACTAAAACTACTTTCTTTCATAAAAATTAGGAAATTTCTATTTTTTAAAATTCGGAATTTCTTTTTCTCCCAAAATTCCAGCAGTGTTTCCTCCTAACCCATCTATACTAAAATGTGCATAACTCTTTCTATATGTATCAAAAAATTATTAACGTTTATAGAGAGCTAGTACAAACATAGAAAAACAACTTTTATTCTTTAAGTTTTGCTCAAAAATCAATCTAACAACATCAAATAAATCTCACAAGATTCGGGTAGATTCTTCTCCCAAAATTCCAGCAGAATGCATTTCGGAACAACCATCACTATAATTGGTATAACTCTTAATGTATAGGTATAAATATTATAAAATTTTATATAGATCTAGTCAACACATAGATGAACAACTTTCATTCTTTAAGGTTGACCCAAAAATTACCCTAAAGTCCTCAAATAATTCACTAAAAACTCGGGCAGAATATAGTCCTTAAAACATTGATTTTGCATATTTGATTTCTTTATTAATTAAACCATTAATCTTAAGCACAATAACTTTAATTTAACATAAATCACATATTTCAAGCATTAATTTCTCATGATGAAATGATAATTATACTTACTCTTAATATACATATATATAGAATTATTCTAATACACGTCGCATTATGGATAAAGGTCTTTACGGGGGTTACAAATAAAACTAAAAAAAACATTGAATAATTAAAAAGAAAATGATGGTGAGTGAATTAAGAAATTATGAAGTGAGTAATCAAGAAGTAAAGATAACTTGAAACGGTGATGAAAAAATTGATTACTCGATTTTTTTATTGCAAAGAATGCATAACTACGAGAGAGAGAGAGAGAGAGAGAGAGAGAACATCTCTCCATTCTTCTTTAGTTTTCTAGACTAAAATTGCCATTAATTGCCTTTATATATTAAATTTTAACTTTAAGTATACATTTATAGATGATAGCACCTAAAAGTTTAAAAGCCTCTCTCTCTCTCTCTCTCTCTCTCTCTCTCTCTCTCTCTCTCTCTCTCTCTCTCTCTCTCTCTCTCTCTCTCTCCATATATATATTCTTGATTAAGAATTTTTATTTAGTTTAGATTGAAACTTCTATCTTATTGTCATATCCACAATACTATGTGTCAATAATTCATTACTTGAGTTTAATAATACCGAGCCATGTCGGATTAATAATAAATGACGTAATAACATAGGATCTCAATCAAAATTAAATGAAGAGTAGATGACTTTTATCGAAAAAAAAAAGCAAAAAAAAAGTAAAAGAGTCTCTATCAAAAAAATTTAAAGAATAAAAAGTCGATTTATGAGGAGAACTTTAGTTATTTGTGCATGTGGTCAAGCATGACCAAATATATTGCATAAAATCCGACCATTATCAGAGAACATCCAACCATAAGATCTAGATTGTACATGAATGTTTAAGATATTTAGTCAACCAATAAATAAATAAAAATTTCTACATCCATAAATGTCAAAATCCATTTTGAAAAATTGTTAAATTGTTTTTAGAAAATATTACAAAACAAATCCGTTTCATAAAACTCATTTCAGTCACATAAAAATAAAACTCTAAAATCAATGGATTAAATGAGCGTAGATTTTTTTTCCTTCCATGGTAAAAGATATATTCAAATCAAATTGTACATAATGAAAACTAATTTTTTTTCAAAATATTTTTAATTGAATTTTTTATTTGATGGTAAAAAATATTTTCTAATTAACTTACAAGTCAATTGAAATTAAATCCCCTTCTAATAATTTTAAAAATACATCCATATATTTGTCTTTTTCTGGGCAATCTTTGAGTGTAGAATTTGCACCAATGATTAAAGTCCAATTCTTGTACCAACCCCTTCCATTCTTTCCACATATAGTTTGGCGCGACAACATATAGATGAAATTTTATGTTATTATAAGAAGTAATTAACAACTTATTCCATATAAGGAGTTTTGACAAATTTTTGAAAAAAAGAGTGATATAGTATAATGGTTAATAATATTTTAATATGTATAAAAAATCAAATATAAAATCTACTTTTTGTGAGAGAGACAGTGCAGGTGAGGGGTTTGAACGAGAGAGAGAGTGCAGAGATAGTATATAAAATCTGATCATTATCAAAGAATATCCAACTATAAAATCTAAATTGTACAAGAATGTTTTAAATATCTAGTCAACTAGTTAAAAAAAAAAATCTAAAAAATTCTCCTTTCATAAATGTCAAAATCCACTTCGAAAAATTGTTAACTTATTTAAAAAAAAAAATTACAAAACACATTCATTTTATAAAACTCATTTAAGTCACATAAAAGAAACTCTAAAATCAATAGATTCGGGTTTAGAATTTTTTTCCCTGAATAGTAAAACATATATTCCAATCAATTTGTGCATCAATTAAATTTTTTTTCTATAAACTATTTTCAAGTAACTTTTTATTCTATGATAAAAAGTATTTTCAAATTCAAATTATACACCAATTGAAAATTAAATCCCCTCCAAATAATTTTTAAAACACATCCATTATATCCATCTATTTTGGAGCTACCTTTGAGCGTAGGGTTTGCACCAATGATCAAAGTCCCATCCCTGTTCCAATCGCTTCCATTCCCAATAAAGTAATCCAACCCAAAACCTTCGATATTGAATGCATCCAAAGCCACTCTAGATTGATCTACTTTCCCCTTCCATTTCCACACCATCCCGTCACGGGCCGTGACAGACTCGTATTAACCACTCCCCCACCAAACCCCTCTCCTGTACTCTCTCTCTCTCACAAAAAGTTCATTCCCATTTGCCAAATCAACCCGTGACCTCTTTGATCCCGTGAACCCAAAAAAAGAAACCAAAATCTTTAATTGGATAGAATTATAAACATTCACCCTTTGATCACTCCACTCCACACACTAACTTCCAAAATTCCCCCCACTATAAATACCTTCATCACCATGACAACATTAACAACAAATTTAACATCGACAACACATCCAAGAAAACCAAGAAACCTTCTTTGCATTTCCATGGCTTCACTTCTGTCTTTTTCTCTTCTTTCTCTCTTTCTTTTCCTCTCCCTCTCCCTCTCCTCCTCCACCACCACCACTTTAAGGATAAACCAACACCACCCCACGAAACAAAAACAAAAACCGAGATCAAAACCACCTCCCTCATTTCCTGCATCAACCCCACCTGAGATTATCCAAGCTTGTAAAGCCACTAGATTTCAAGACGCTTGTGTCTCTTCTTTGTCCAATTCTCATGTTCCTCAAAATCCAACCCCACTTCAAATCATCCAATCAGCAATCTCTGTTTCCGACACTAACCTTAAAACGGCCCAATCAATGGTCAAGTCTATCCTAGATACTTCCACGGGGAGCATTAACCGCACAACAGCCGCAAAAAACTGCATGGAAGCGTTAAACAATTCACAGTACCGTATAACAAGATCAACGGGTGATGCTTTGCCACGTGGAAGGATCAAGGACGCTAGGGCTTGGATGAGTGCTGCCTTGTTGTACCAATATGATTGTTCCAACGCATTGAAGTATGCTAATGATACGTCTCTCACTAACCAGACGATGTCGTTTTTGGACACCCTGATGAGTTTCTCTAGTAATGCATTGAGCATGATCGTCTCTTATGATGCTTTAGGTAATGACACCAAGTCGTGGGGCCCACCAAAAACGGAGCGTGAGGGGGTTTGGGAAATCCGGTCAGCACCCGGGTCTGGTGGGGGTTTCGGTTCAGGGTTTAGAGGTGGGTTTCCGCCTACGTCAGCGGCCGATGCGACGGTGTGTAAAGACGGGCGTAACAATGGTTGTTATAAAACAGTGCAAGAGGCGGTTAATACGGCACCGGATAATAAGTGGGAACGTAGGTATGTGATACACATAAAGGAGGGAGTTTACGAGGAGATTGTCAGAGTGCCGTTAGAGAAAAAAATGTAGTGTTTTTGGGGGATGGGATGGGTAAAACAGTAATTACAGGGTCATTGTTTGTGGGCCAGCCTGGGATTTCTACCTACAACACAGCAATAGTTGGTAAGTTCCTTTTTTTTTTTTTTTTTTTTTTTTTTTTTAACTCTTGTTATTGTGAGTAAAATTTTGTTTTTTTGGCATTTCTGAAAACGTTGAAAGCTGTGGGTCCCATGACTGAGCTGGATGCTGACTCATCATGCCAAATGTATTGACATATGGCATGCCGAGTCAGCATTCACTTGTAAATTGGCTAGTGAGTGAAAAAAAAAAATGGAATTGTTGAGCTACTGTGGGTATATATTCCAATTGTAAAGTAGTGGTTTTTAAATGGTTTTTATTTTTATTTTTATTTTCTTTTTTCATTTTATTTTTTGGTCAAAAAAAAAAAAAAAAAGGGACTTTGTAGACGATTTTTGAACAATAATTCTCTGTACCATAATTGTAGTTTGGTTTCATTGAATCTGTTGTGCATGTGTGTCATTTTGGTTTAAAGCAATTAATGAGTCTAGAGAAATTTTTGGCATGAGAGTTATGGCATAGGTCTAAAAGGAGCCAAAGACTATTATTGGGATATGGAGGAGAAAGTTGGTAACTCGTTATTTATTTCTAAATTATTTAAGAAAGAATCACGAGTTGGCTTTTATTTATATATTTTTTTAATGAATTAATTGTTAAGATTTTGACAGAAGTGTTAGAGGATCCAAATTAACATGGCAGGAGTTACCTTTCTTTCTTTTATCTTCTTTAATAATTGGCAATTACTTTTTTCTAATCTTTCTCAATTCTTTCTAGTCAAAGCATACATAAATCGTCTTTAATGCTTTCACATTAGTTCAACTCTTGTTATATATCATCCTTCAAAGCAAAAGCTTTGAATCGCCTCACTACGATAATGGCAGAACCATCATCACCGACAGCTTCAAAAAAGCCCCTTAACAGCTTCAACCAAAGAACAGCTTCTTCAGGCTCAAAATCCAAATTCCTTGTTATAATCATTGCTACTGTCCTTCTATTATCCTTTGTTTTCCTCGTTCTTTTCTTTACCCTTTCTTCAAAAACCAACAAAGAACACCAACATGCTCTCCAGTCACAACTCTCTCCACCTAAACCAAGTCCTATAACAACAAAACTACCTCAAACTGATATCCATTTAGCCTGCAATGCCACACAGCATCCATCTACGTGCGAATCCTCATTAACAGAATCCAATGTTGTCCCTCCCAATCCAACCCCACTTCAAGTAATCCAAACTGCAATCTTTCTTTCCTCTGAAAACCTCAAAACTGCGAAGTCAAAGATAAATTCCCTCCTAACGTCAACTACTAACCCAAACATCACCACTGCTGCGAAAATTTGTTTAGAGGTACTTGGATATTCAGAGTACCGGATTTCATCAGCCAATCATAGCTTGCCACGTGGAGAGATCAAGGATGCTCGTGCTTGGATGTCTGCAGGTCTTTCTTATCAATATGATTGCTATGGAGGTCTAATTTACAATGCTGGTAATAGTAACTCAAAGCCGCTTAATGAAACTGTGTTGTTTTTGGAGTCCTTGGTTGGTTTAACCAGCAATGCATTAAGCATGATGGTGTCTTATGATTTATATGGAAATAAAACGGCATCCTGGAGGCCACCCCAAACCGAACGGGACGGATTTTGGGAGGATTCTGTGTCTGATAGTTTGGTAGGATCTTTCGGATTTCCGTCTAAGTTAACAGCGGATGCCACGGTGTGTAAGGATGGAAGTAAAAGTGATGGGTGCTACAAAACGGTGCAGGAAGCTGTTAATGCGGCGCCGGATAATACCATGGACCGGCGGTTTGTGATACATATAAAGGAAGGGGTTTACCAGGAGATTGTTAGGGTTCCGCTTGAGAAGAAAAATGTGGTGTTCTTAGGTGATGGGATGGGCAAAAGTGTCATTACCGGGTCGTTGAGTGTCGGTCAGCTTGGAGTTACTACTTATGAGTCTGCTACAGTTGGTAAGTTGATGTTTTTTCTGAACTGTGTTGTCAAATGGTGGTAGGTGGTGAAAGGGAGAAAAAAGGGTATGTTTACATGTGAGTGGGGACTATGAGCACCGACTGTTTTTTTTAGTAGAAATCAGTGTCACATTTGGATGGAAAAGTATTTGAGTGGAGAGTAGTAGGTTTGGTTGGTAATGTTTGGTAATAGAGGTTTACTTAGTGGATGGTTATTAAGGATAAGTTTGATATACGAGCCAAGTTTACCTTTTGTATTATCTAATCACATGGTTTGCATCCCATCAGGTGACATTGCTTTAATTCCTTTGGGAAACTAGGAAAGTGGTGTGAAGCTTGAATTCAAGTAAAGCACATGGTTTTCCTACCACTATGGTGGCTACAAGTCCTGGAAAACCATATGAGTTACCATTCTGATCTGAAATGAAAACATAAAATTCCAAGGATAAGTTTGGATTCTTGTAATTTGGTGTTTGCTGGCTATGATAAATCATGATGTCTTGTTTGTAAGTCCTACTGCTTGTCCAATATGTGTAACTGTTCATGTGTGAAACTTGTAGTCGTTGGCACTTGGCATCTTCAACCGATGAGCAGAAGAACTTTGCTGATGTGTCTGTCATATAATTTTGGAATGCTTTAAAAATGGAAAATGATCGATTTTGGGACGAATATCTCACCCTTTTTTGTCATTGTTTTGATATGCCCTATTTCTTGATGCAGGAGTTCTTGGTGATGGATTTATGGCCAGTGGTCTAACAATCCAGAACACAGCAGGAGCCCCCACCCACCAAGCAGTAGCTTTCAGGTCGGACAGTGATCTGTCCATTATAGAGAACTGTGAATTTCTGGGTAATCAAGACACTTTATATGCTCATTCACTTCGTCAATTCTACAAATCATGCCACATCGAGGGCAATGTGGACTTCATTTTTGGAAACTCAGCTGCAATTTTTCAAGATTGCCAGATATTAATCCGTCCAAGGCAAGAAAAACCAGAGAAAGGCGAGAACAATGCTGTCACAGCACATGGCAGGACAGACCCTGCCCAATCAACAGGTTTCGTCTTTCAAAACTGTCTGATCAATGGAACCCAGGAATATATGGCACTATATAGAAGCAAGCCTAGCGTGCACAAGAATTTCTTGGGAAGGCCATGGAAGGAATACTCAAGGACTGTTTTTATACACTGTAACTTGGAAGCTCTTATAACACCACAAGGATGGTTGCCATGGAGTGGAGATTTTGCCCTTAAAACACTTTACTATGGAGAATTTGAGAATTCTGGACCAGGATCCAACTCGGCTCAGAGAGTAACATGGAGTAGTCGGATTCCCGCTGAGCATGTAGCTTCGTATTCTGTACAGAATTTCATTCAAGGAGATGAGTGGTTTCCAACATCTTCTTGATTGTTTTGTCTTGTTAGTTACAATAATAATGCCATGTGCCTAGTATTATTAGCAGAATTTGTAGAGTTAGATACAAGTTGGTGGGAATGAATCCCTTCGTAATTACAAAATTCGTGAAAAGACGACAAAGTTCCCCAAATTGAATGCACTAACTTCGTCTATAACCTATCCTAACAGCAGTTCTTTGCAGAAACACTTGTCCTCAGGTTAATTCCTCTTTTGTTTGTACACCATATAGATGTTTTTCTTGCTTCTCAGTTAACTATGAACACTTGGCAAATGGATACAAATGATGGTTATGAATTTTTGGCACCTCATATACTCTGTTCTTGATTGAGTTGTGGAACCAGTTGTATTTTTCCTTGTTCTGACAATGCATCAGATCAATCATCTACTTTTGATCCATAATGTAGAGATGGACTTCATAATCTCCATTGTAATGGTTCGTTGGATGAACAAGATTCACCAAAGATTCAGTCATGAAAAAGGGGAAAAAACAAAGTAGGCATCAGAAACCTTAATTATCTGATGATTCTTTCCCATGCTGTGTTGGGACTATGACACTACAATCCGGTTCTCTTTACTTGCAGGTAAAGGATGCTATGCAGTTAAAGGAAACTGAATGAAGCTGGGGACACGTTGACCTCAGCTTTGCAAATCGTGGATGCAATCTGGTATGTGATTGGAAAAACTGAATTTTCTTTTCTCCTTCGTAATACTATCTGTGTCGTGTACTCTTTAGAGACTAGCCATGATCAGTTACTTGGAAAAAAACTGATAATATGCAAAACTGAGGTGCCTCGGTGAATAATTTAAGGCAGCACTTCTGTTTCTGAAAGTTTAGGTACATCAACTTGTAATTAAGGTAAAACATGGACTAATTCTGCTTCATGGAAAGAAGAATTAGAGATGCTAACTGGGGCTGTTTCTACATGATGCGTTCATGTGATGCTAGTGAGCATGAGTCTAGACAACTTTTGTTTATTGCTATTGTTGTCCTAATTGTATTGACAAAAAAGAAATACTAAATGCCATCAAGGAACAGTTTTCAGCATGTCATTTTCTGATCACATGAGAATGTATCCATACGGCACACAAGCATGGTTCCAAGTGGAGTAGGGTTAAACCCCATGTTTCTGTTGCTGTCGCGTGGTGCCGAAAGCTCATCGGTTTCTTAATTGTGATGTAACAACAAACGGTCCACATTTGTCCCACTGTTCTTCGCATTTTATGTCAACATTTCTGCTATACAGCATATGAAAGTAAAACTAGCTGCCTAAGCTTTAGGATATGGTAAGTGCAATAATTATCTCATGCTTGAAGTTGGTCTGTGCATGCTATCCACTTTGTGCCTCATCTTCCCTTTAAGAGGAAATGGACTAATTGGTGTCTACTCAACTCTCCACAACTGATTGACACTCCAATCTGGCATCCACTTGCTGGGTCATGCTTTTATCCTCCCACTTCCACACCTCTTTCCTTTCACTGTCTATTTCTGTTTCTCCACTTATCCATTTGTAGGCCCAGTTCCCATTTTTATTCTATGTTTACACGAATGCATAATGCATGCCCTAACCACCAC